GGAACAACTGCTCTAGGRTCAGGCCAGGTGACCACTATGTGCTTTCCTCAGTAGAATTTTTTTTTCCTTTTTTTTTTTTTTTTTATGATGCTGGGGATCAAATCTAGAGCCTCATGCATGCTAGGCAAATGCTCTGCCATTGAGCCACTAACCAAGCCCCTTAGTGACTTTAAATTTACACAATAACTGATGTAGACATTTCCATTTTAATGAAGAGTTTTTCCATCCACCATCTTCCACAAGTCTCACAAGGACCTTAAGTCAATGCATATAATGAGTGACAAAATAGCTCAGAGAGTTGATGRGATCTGGTGATGGCCTCACAATTAGTAAGCAGCAAACAAGGACTAGATCATGGTGTTTGAATGTGAGCCCCAAGCTTCTCATAAACAAACTTATTGTTTATGAGATTGTCCTCATTACTTCTTGATAAGGGAGCTGATAAAAATCAGGAATAAACTTGCCTGAGTGGGAAGGAAGATGGAAGTAGGAAGCAGAGTTTCTACCCAGTTTCTATACCTGAGGTGTCCTGCGAGTTTTGCTTTCTGTGTCCTTCCTTCCATGGGTCATATCCTGCCAGCCAGAAGGGGAATCCAGCATCTTGTCCCTCCCTCTTTGACTGGTAATAACACAACAGGAAGTTGTTTAAAATTAAATTTTAGTAAAAAATTTACAATTTTTATTTGTTCATTGGTGTTGGGGATCACGCTATCCATAAGCTGTCCAATGGGCTACTCTTCCAGCTCCTTCTCAGTTTTAAAATGTTTTCCCATTTCCAGAGGTTAGCCAAGATGAACTCAATGAAATCAATCAGTTTGTGGGACTCATGGAAAAATTATTTGCTGAAGACAATACGTACGATTTTCTTTATCATTGCCAATTTCCATTGTAAGAAGGATTGAGTTGATTGGTTTTTTTTAGAGAGAGAGAGAGAATTTTTTAATATTTATGTTTTATTTTTCAGTGGACACAACATCTTTGTTTGTATGTGGTGCTGAGGATCGAACCTGGGCCGCACGTATGCCAGGCGAGCCTGCTACCTCTTGAGCCACATCCCCAGTCTGAGTTGATATTTCTATTACTGGCAGTGTGAACACAGAGGAAGCCATCCTAGGTGTTGTTCTTGAGGCAGAATGGGTTTCTACTCATGATACTTTGCTTCAGGGATCATTCCAATTGCTGGTTAATGACAAGACATCTAGTTCAGCTGGGTGCGGTRTCCTGTAATCCCAGCAACTCAGGAGGCTGAGGATCACAAGCTTGAGGCCAATCTAAGCAACTTAGTGAACTCCTGTCTTGTCTTAAAATAAAAAGTAATTTAAAAGGGGGGTCTGGAGATATGGCTCAATGGCAAAGTACCCCTGGGTTCAATCCCCAGTGCCAAAAAAAAAAAAAAAAAACAACTTCTAGTTCAGTGCTTGTGCATGCCCCCATGGTGAATGTGCACTTGTAAACATTTCCAAACTGTTGCAGACCCAACACTTAGGTAATATACAGTAAAAGTGAATTATTAGATAAGTGAGATGAAAGAAACCAAGCACATTTACAATCCAAGACTGTGAGTCATATGCTGGTTGGTGTGGCCATGCTGTAGATGTTTCCAGAGGGTGAGTTTTGATCTCTGTACTGATTGTTTATGAACCAGTCRTGGTTGTGGACCAGCAGCACCTCAGCCCACAGGTAGAGGAGCAATCCTCTTACTCTAGAACCCCTTCTTCAAGCTGTCAACCAGGCCTTAGAGTTGATGCCCCTCCTGAGTGGTTCCTGGACAGATCCCTGATGCAAGATTACATGACAGCAGCACTTCCCTAATTCTGGGGGGGGGGCCCAAAAAAACTTCTGTTTATGTGGGTGTCATCTACCATTATTGGCCCATTAGGAATCAAAACTGAGACATTTAATAAAAAACATATTGTGTTTACTTATGTCTTCATTTTTAAAATAATATAAAACTGTCACATGTTTATATAAACAATATTTTAAGTGAAAAGTATTTTGAAAATATTTGGAAACAAAAAAGAAAGAATGGAGTGACATCATTTTACAGTTTTGCAAATCTTTTAATATTTGGCTTATTAGAAGACAGCTGGATTCTCCTACTTGTTTCTGCATTTAATGTTTATATTTAATTTATATCATGTAATCTCCAGAAAAGTCACTCTATACTATTGAGAAAAGTAGAATTAAAAGTCAAAGGGCTGAGGTTGTGGCTTAGCAGTAGAGCGCTCACCTCGCACATGTGAGGTCATGGGTTTGATCCTCAGCACTATGTAAAAATTTAAGTAAATAAAATAAAGGTATTGTGTCCAACTAGAGCTAAAAAAAAATAAAAATAAAAAAAGTCAAATAAACTGGACATGGTAGTGCTCGCCTGTAATCCTAGTGGCTCAGGAGGCTGAGCCAGGAGGATCATGAGTTCAAAGCCAGCCTCAGCAGAAGCAAGGCTCTAAGCAACTCAGTGAGATCTGTCTCTAAATTAAATACAAAATAGGACTGGGGATGTGGCTCAGTGGTTGAGTGCCTCCAAATTCAAACCCACTACCAAAAAAAAAAAAAAAGTCAAATAGTATAATACTATTACAATAAATTGCTTCGATCCTGTGGACCTACACAGGACTCTGGCACTTCAGAACCATTTTAAAAGCCATTGCTCTCACTAATGTTTAATAATATGTACTAGTTTAGTTGTTTGTTTTTTTGAACCCAGAGCCTCAGATTTACCACTGAGCTACACCCCCATTCCTATTGCTGGGTTTGTTTGGTTTTGGTACTGGGGATTGAACCTGGAGGGCTTAACCACTGAGTCATATCCCCACTTTTATTTTTCATTTTGAGTTAGGGTCTTGCTAAGTTGATGAGGATCTTGTTAAGTTGCTGAGGCTGGCTTTAAATTTGGGATTCTCCTGCCTCAGCTTCCAGAGCTGCTGAGATTATGGGGGTATACCACTGCACCTAGCCCTGTTGCCAGTTTTTTAAGTTGTTTAGTTGCTTCTCAGTAGTTTGTTACCAGAAGTTGAGAGTCATTGTGGAGTGTCATGATTTCTCTGTATACAGTAGTATAATACAATGAGGTAGAGACAGTGCTTAGGGCAGGTTTATTGCAAGGTGAGGGAGAGGCAAGAGAAAGTGAGATTCACTCTGGAGAAAGAGAAAGGCAGATTGGCTAGGGACCAAAACACCTGGAAATTATTAAGCTTTCACCTTTTGTTAGGATAAGGGACAGGAAGTTGCAGAGGCATGAAACCTTGGCCAAGGGTCTTTGGGCTCAACATTTTGGTTAACTATTATCCATTCAGGAGAGGTCCTCTACCTGCACTGTGTGAAAATTGAGGGTATGTACTGTGTACTTGGGTCACTTCACCCTTTCTGGCCTAGTGCTACTGGTGGAATGTCATGTAAGAGTCAGCTAACACTGGGAGCAGATTGTGGACACATGTGTGATCTTGGGAACATGATGTGTACCATAAATCTGTGAGAGACAGTGCTGTGTCTCTTTCTGGAATGTGGCTGAAGATGAGCAGCTCTGGATCAATGACCAATCATCTACTCCTCTCTCTGGCCCTTTTCCTTCTCTCATTTCTTCTCATTGATAGCTAACTACCTCCACTAACACACACACACACACACACACACACACACACACACACACACACGTTGGGGATTAGAACCCAGGGCCTTGTGCATGCAAGGCAAACACTCTACCAACTGAGCTATATCCCCAGCCCCCACACGTATCTTTTGTTATTCAGAGATGTCTGTTTTGCTTTATCCTATTTAGAACCATTTCTTAGTTCTAGTCCCTTGTTCTTTTGTTTCAATTTATATGATTTTTTCCCCAAAGCCTTATTGAGGTATAATTGATTTTTGATAAATTACACACATTTAAGTTGTATCCTGAGGAACCATCAACATAACCAAGGTAATGAATGTGCCCATCACCCCTTAGAGGTTTCCTCCTTCTCTTTTCACTGCCTCCCTGTCCCCAGGCAACTGCTGATCTGCTTTCTCTCACTCAGAATAGTTTGTATTTTCTGAAATTTTTTTCTCTTGGTACTGGGAATTGAACCCAGGGGTGCTTTACCATGGAGCTACATTCTTGGCGCTTTTTAAATAAATTGCAATAGGATCTCAGTAAGTTGCTTAGGACCTCATTAATTTGCTGAGGCTGGCCATGAACTTGCAATCCTCCTGCCTCAGCCTCCTGAATCACTAGGATTGCAGGTGTGCATCAGATTTTATTTAAATAGACTCATACATTAATGTATATTTTTGCTCAGCTTCCTTTGGAATATTTTTAGTTTCCCCCACGTGGCATTATCAGTAGTTTCTTCTTTCTAGTGCTAAATATTTCTTTGTAAGGATATTTTAAAAAATTTGTGTATCTATTTACCTATTTATGTGGTATGTATGCATATTGTAGCCATCATCACAGTTGCCAAGAACATACTGTATGAGTCTTCCAGCAGACACCTGTGGTTCTCCTGAGCGATGTCTATGAATGGAACATGTGGATCCTGCAAAATTGCTGAGCTGTTTGCCCAAGTGGTCACTACTTTACATTCTTACCACAGGATGGAAAGTTCCAGCTGTTTCACATTTTCACCAGCACTCACGTATGGTCAGTCCTTTTAAAATATCATTTAATATACCTTTATTACTGGTGTCCTATGCCATAGGCCTAACTCCAGGGATCTGAACAAACCAGGTCTGGCCATTCAAGCACCAAACAGAAAAGATAATGGTGAAAGCAGAAAAAGAACTTTAATTAATATGGCCATACTGGGAATGCAAAGTGAGATCCATCCTGTCCTATCTGCTGATTCTAGATGCTGAACATGATGTCAGGTTTCAGAGAATTAGGGGACCAGGGGACTGGGGGTGTGGTGGTGGGGGTCAGAGGGCACTCAGAGGTGGAGAGATTTTTAGTCCTGGGCACATTACTGCCTGCCCATACCTTAGCCCACCCCCTGCCTTTGCTCACACAGGCTAGCTACACCAGAGAACAGAAAAGGAAAAAAGTTTATTGAAAACTATATACAATTGGTCCAGCTCCTACCACAGGCTGCAATCTGGGCCAGTCCCTCCCATAGCTTAGGCAGTGTCTTGGCCCCTGATGGAAGAGGCTGGGACTGGGGCTAGGGCCCAGACCCACTGTAGATCATCGAGAATTTACAACTCAAAATGGCCTGCAAGTGGCAGGTAGGGAACAGAGAATAGATCCTTTCCCTGACCTAGTCGCAGCCTGGAGCAGGGGACACTATTCTGAAACTTGGGCCCAAGAGGGCCGAGCTAGACTGTCTGGGAGTCCTAGCTGCTCCTGTTGTAGGAGGCCCTTCTGGACATGGAGGTAAACAGCCCCACTACTACCCCTCCCCATGTGCCAGAACCCATGGGCTTCAGGGTCTAGGCCTGGGGACACCAGTGACCCTTTCTCTCAACACTGACTTGGGGTCGAGGGTTCCTCCTGGAGCACTCCCCATGCAGAGGATCTAGAGTTGAGAGGTGATGCTGGAGAGTCACAGCTCAGGGCCTCCTGGACTAGGGGGTAGTTTKGGGGGTCAGGGTGTCCCACTGTAGGAATAGTCTGCTTTATTGTGCATCACCAGCCGGTCATCCACGAAGTAGAAGCTGTCAGACTGTGTCTCATATGGGTGACGGATCATCTCGCTGACTGCAAGAGAGGCCCAGCCAAGGCAAAAGGTCAGGAGCCTGAGCCACACCACTACAGGGGCTTCAGGACTGGGGCACAGGGATAGCTGAACCACCTCAGGGAGATCCTCAATCTCTTTGAGCCTGTTTCCCTACAGGTGACATGGGAATAATGCCAGACACAAAAGTGACCCAGGATGGGAGAAAAGGGAGTCAGGTCCACAAGCACCCCTCCCTCTCCATCTTAGTCCCCATACCTCCCCCACTCTCCCAGCTCCCACCCCTCTGCCCACGCACTCAGCTCCTCAGAGAGAGGGGGGAAGTCGTAGATGTGCTCGCATGTGTTCTTGCTGCTGGGGATGCAGAAGCCAAAATGGAAGTCAAAGCTTTTGAGTAGCTGGTTGCGGAAGTAGTGCCTCTCAATCATTCGGAAGTTGTTGACTGGCTTGTCTCCCACTGTGAACTCAACCCTGCGCAAGGGAAGGGGGCAGGGCTGAGTCTGGCCTTGGYGACAGCCACCCAGCTGGACAGACTCTAGACAGAGCACCCCTGAGGGAGCTCAGTTAGAACTCAGGAAGGGCTGTTCCCCCTTGCTTCCTCACCCCCAGCCCTCACCAGCCCAGTGACTCACGTGGCTCCCACCTGCCTCAGGCGGAGGAAGGCAGGCGTGAACTGGTAGCGGACAAAGCGTCCAGCATTGGGATCCAGGTCTCCACGATTGATGGGCAACCGCTCTGCAATGTAGGCCAGTTAGCCTCAGTGGGGTCCTTACCCACCTAAGGTTCCACCCCTGGTCCCTGTCTATCTGGATTTTAAACAACTACCCAGGAGAATCTGTTACATATTTAGGGCTCAGAACTTTGGCCAAATGGTGGCACCTAGTGGTTCTAAGTCAGGAAGTCACCAGTTTCCATGGAGGTTCCCAGAGGCACAGGATGCACACAGGCAGGGGACCTCTGGGACTGCAGTTCCTAGGGAGACCTGCAGAGGGCAGGCTGGCAGGAACTAAAGGGGCAGGACTGTTCTCAGATGTCCACCCCTAGAAMCAGATGGAAGGGAAAACAAGAGGCCGCACTGCCTGAATCCTCCTGAAAATGCTGGGGTCTGAACCCTAGCTCTGCTCTGACTCCTCTGTGGTCCTAAAAGTCCCCGGATGGCCCACTCTTCACATTTTCCCTTCTCCTCTTTGTCAGTGGCCCACCCAACCCGCTCACCTGAGGCGGGAGGTTTCTTGATTTCAAAGAGGACAGTGCCTGAGTCCATGTCCCGGATCTTGAACCTGACAAAGTCGATCTTGTAGATATTCTCCTCAGGGGAGCATAGGTAGTCTAGAAGAGACAGGCAGCTGAGCAAGGAAGGGACCCAAAAGTCTCTGCTGCCAGTTGAGCTTTTGTGGGATCCTGCACTTCCTACTGCCTTCTCTGATCCCTATGGTCACTGCACTCTGGAGGAGTGAATTAAAACCCTGCTCTAGAGGAGCCCCCACAGCACAGAGGATGTAATTCTGCCCTGGGGATTTAATGGTGGATGAAAACCCCCTTGAGGGTAGCCTCTGGGAGATAGGCAAGGGCAGAGCAGAGAAGAGTGGAGGACAAGACCATCTCCCTCCATACTTTGCTTCCCACTCTGGAGTTTAGGATCCTTACTCCAGCCTCTGCTCGGCCAGGTTGGCTGCTTTGGGGCCACATAGGTCTCCAGGTTGGTAGAATCCTCCAGCATACACGCCTGCCTTTGCAAACCTCACTTCAAAGGAGGTGACACAGCTCTGCCTTGGGAGAGCACAGTCCTTCCCTGGAAGATGCTCCCACTCTCACTCTGTGCCTGCCCTTGGCACAAAATCTAGGAGTGTCAGACAAGGCTGATCTTGAGGTGATTTCCTTGGAGATGGGTATAGGTGGGGCAGACACAATCCCTTCCCTGTTTCTCCTCATCCCCAACCCTCACCTCATCCTATAAGCAGCTTATGCAAGCCCAGCTCCCTTAAGCAGCTTAGTCAAAGCTCTGCTGACTCCAGTCCTGAGCCTAGGATATTTGGGGGAAGGGGCCAAACTTTCCTCCCATCCTCTGTTGAATTCCAAATGGAAGGAAGTCTTTAGCAAACAGAAGGACCCCCCCCACCCCCGTAAAGGTCATCTATCTAGCCTTGGCCCTGAGCCACCCCCACAGAGAAAGTACTCTCTGGCTCCCAGAAAATACAGGCTAAGCCAGGAAGAGGGTGGGACAGGTGCATCAGGGATGTGCAAGGGAGACAGGGGAGTCCTCAGGCCCAGAAGGGAAATCAGGGACAGTGGTAGGCCCTGCCTGAGGAAGCTCAGGAATCTACAGAGCCTGATCTAATCCTCATTGTCCTTGCAGGATACACAAGTGCTTAGGGAGGCCCTGGAAATAAATAGGAAGGGGCAGAGAGGTGCAGGCTGGTACCGTCAGCCTTCAGAGACCACATTTTCCCCTGGTAGCCTATAGAGGCCTAGAAGTCACCCTCCAGGATCCTAGGCCATCTCCTATTACTCTGTGGTAGGAAGTTTGTCTCTTTCCCACATCTGGGGCAGCCCCCTCCAGACAGCTTTCTGGTTGTCCTCTGGCACCTAGGGACCCATTAGGAACTACATAAAGATTGGAGAAGGCCCTGAGCCTTTACCTATTACCAAATTGTGGGGGAAGGAAGGAAACTGGAAGTGGGAAGCTCCTCCTTCACCCTTACACACCTTATTTTCTCAGAAAGTAAGCACTGGTCCAAAGAAAGGTTCAGGGCATGAGGTGAAGAAGGGAGCAGGACCCTAGTTGTGGGCTCCCTGCAAGGTCCCCCTCCCCCCCCCTTTTTTTTTTTGCAGTCTGACCCYGGTCTCTTCAACTGCAAACAATCTGTCAGCTCTTCTGTCTTAGGAGAAAGTGAGGACAAGGGATGCTTCCCTTCTGCCAGGGAAGCTGAAGCCTAAGGCCCAGGGTTGGGCCAGAGTGAGGGCGAGAGAGGCTAAGGGCTCAGAACACAACTGTCCCTTCCTCTCAGCCACAAATAGCTTCTTAAGCTGGATTCAGGGCCCAGTAATCCAGGAACAACAAACCTCAGATCCACATGATTAGGGTCAGAAGACCCAAGCAAGGGGTGCTAGGGTGGAGAAGCTTAGCTCCCTGCTCTCAGATCCCACACAGGAAAGGGCTCCAACAAAGCCTGCACCCCTACTCTTTCCCCACAGATGCCACATCTCTAAGGAGTATGAATTTTCTCCAAGTTAGGAAACACATGTTGTAACTTCACCTGGAAGCCTCCTTTGATTTCAAAGTAAACCCCTCAAATTATCCAGAACTCAGGCAGGTCAGTTTGACCTCCATCCCAGGAGCTAAACTGAATCCTAAATGCTGCTGTTGCAAATTGCAGCCCAATGACTCCAACATCAGCCTGGTCCACTGATGCCTGCTTATGCAAGGGCGCTCAGCCATTTGGGGGCCCAGCCAAGAAAAGAATGGCTGCAGCCTAGCTCAAAAAAGGAAGGAGACCCCAGGGACCCAAAAGCACAGGCTCTGGCTTGCCATCATGGTTCTCTCCATTGCTTCATGTGGGAGCCCTGGGCTATATCCACATCCCAATGGAGAGAGGACTCAAGGGTGCTCTCATAAAGGGAGCCAGGGCAGGTTACTGGGTAAATGATGCCAAGGTGGAGGCCACCATCTTGCTAAATATCTCCCATTCTTCAAGGCTAGTCAAGGCTCTGTCATGAGGTTTTTGAGTCTTTGTTCCCTGTCTATGGTGCCTCCAGGCAGCAGTCCTGTGACAAACCCCACCCCCCATAATACTGATAAAAGAACCCTATTTACAGAGCATGCATAACATGCCACTGTAGAAAATCAGAGGACTTATTTTATTTTCACAATAACCTTAAGATGGAGGTGTCATCCCCATTTTACAGATGAAAATACATGCTCAGAGAAATGAAGTTACATGTCCAAGGTCACACAGCCCATTATGTAGCAAAGCTGGGACTCCAACCCAGGCAGTCCAGTCCAGAAACTCACAGTGGAGACTAGGCATCTCTTGACGACAGAGCCCCTTAGGAGGACAGGCCCTAGTCTAGATTTGAGGGAGCATTAACTCACTCCAGGACAGAGCCCTTAGCCAACACACTGAAGCTTCCTGCTCAGTTCCTTTCCAGGGTAAGGGAATGGCCCTAGACGACCTGGGGGACCCAGGGTGAGGGCATAAATGGTCAGGGAGACTTGAGGGTCTAAAACTTCCTAATTAATTCAGTCACCACCTAGTCTCCAGGGTGGGGGCTCAGCCCCCCTCCTCATTAGTGCCCACAGGCCCAAAATGGTTCTTAAGACTCCACATGGAAAGGGTTTGAGTTGCAGCTGCCGCCCCACCTCCACCATGGGAAAAGGGGTGGGTCCCTCAAAAAGGAAGGAGTGGGGTGGAAATAAACCTCTACATGAAGAGGGGTGCATAGGTAGATCAAGGGAATCAAGGGAAGTGGGGCTTGGGAGATCCCAGACTTGGAAGAAGAAGGGAGAGTCTTTAAGAGTAGGGGACACAGGAGACTGGAAACGGGTGGGGGAGGGGCGGCGGGGGAAGGAGGGTCAGGGGGCGGGAGCCCGAGCTCCACGCGCCGCTCGGGCCCCCTCCCGCCCGCGGGCGGCGCTCCCTCGCCGGTGCTCACCGCCGGTGATGCGCTGTAGCCCCAGCACGTCCTCCGGCGCGATGGGCTGCTTTCCGGGCAGCGGCCCCGACCTGGGCCCCGGGCCTGCCTCCGGCTCCGACTCGGACCCAGATTCGGATTCCGCCTGCGGCTCCGGCGTGGGTTCCACGCTCGAGCCCGAGGCTCCTGGAACGGACTCCGGTCCCGTTCCATTCCCACCTCCGCCCTTCTTCACCTTCATGGCCTCGCGGGGCCGCGGCTAGCCTGCTGCCGCCGCCACTGCCTGAGCCGGCTGGAGCCTGGGGAAGGGGGAGCGTCCGCAGCCCCGCCCCCGGCCGGGCCCCAGGTGCCGTCCCGCCCCCTGCCCCGCCCCCGGGGTGGGTCCTGCTCCGACCCCGCCTTCTGCCGAGTCCACTCAGGCCGAAAGGCAGCGGGCCCAGGGCCAGGGTGCAGGGCTTCCACTCTTCTTACTTCGTGGTTGGATACTCCCCACGCCCCCAACGTAAGGGATCCTGCCTAACTCCTCTTACTCGCTGGATTCAAGCCTTAGGGATCCTCTTGGCCTGATGGCTTCTCTTTTTAATCTCTGCTCAAGCCTCAAACTGTTCAACCTTCATTACACCCACCCCCTCTAAAATACTTAACCCCAGTCTCTAATTAGTTTTTCCCACTAATGCATTATGTGAAATTACTTTTATTTGTTCACTGACTCTTCTCCATGAAAGATCAACTGTGAAAGATCCTATCAACTTTGTTCTTTGTAATATCCCAGCACTAGCATAGTGCTCCTTGCACATTCTCTTTCTTTGACTTATTCATGAATGAATTAGTATCCCAGAGCTTTCACTGATACCAGAATTCTCTCCTAGAAACCCTACTATGTAGCAAAAGCAGATGCTAACAGCCTTAGGAACCCAGGACATGCAGAGGGACCACAGCCCAGGTGCCCAACTACACTAGAGTTCCTCAGGACAGAGGAACAAGATAGAACTGTAAACGCAGAAAAGTTATTTAAACATGAATGAAAATCATGCTCATACTCCATATAATTTCAGTTCATATTCAACCAATGTTTATTAAGAACCTGATATGCAGCCGGGTGTAGTGGCACACGCCTGTAATCCTAGCAGAGGCTGAGACAGGAGAATCACAAGTTCAAAGCCAGCCTCAGCAATGGTGAGGCACTAAGCAACTCAGTGAGGCCCTGTCTCTAAATAAAAGAGATGTGGGGATGTGACTCAGTGGTCAAGTGTCCCTGAGTTCAATCCCCGGTACCAAAAAGAAAAAAAAAAAAAAAAAAAAGAACTTGATATTCCAGGTGCTGTGGTGCACTCCGTAATCCCAGTGACTCAGAAGGCTGAGACAGGATGATTGCAAGTTTGAGGCCAGCCTCAGAAACTTAATGATGCCCTAAGTAAYTTAGCAAAACCCTGTCTCAAAATAAAAATTTAAAAGGATTAGGGATGTAGCTCAGTGGCAAAGTGCCCCTGGGTTAAATCCCATCATTTAAAAAAAACAAAAAACAACAACAACAACAACTGATAATTTTTTTTAAAAAGCCTAATATATGCCATACAGTTTTACATGTTTATAACATTTATCAATAGAACCACCTTTTGGGCTGGGGATGTGGCTCAAGTGGTAGCGTGCTCTCCTGGCATGCGTGCGGCCCGGGTTCGATCCTCAGCACCACATACCAACAAAGATGTTGTGTCCGCCGAGAACTAAAAAATAAATATTAAAAAAAAAAAAAAAAAGAACCACCTTTTGAGGGAGGTATCATCAATGCTATTGACAAATGAAAAAGTGAGGCTCAGAGAGACTGAGTAGCTTATCCAAAGCTCCCTAGCTAGTTTAGTGCAGAAGCAAGGATTTGAATCCAGGCATTTGGAATCCAAGCCTAGAACTTCTGCCACTATACCACAGTGCCTCTCTGAGAGGGTAAAGGGAACCTCTGCCATACCACCAGGTCCTGAGCTGCTGCCTCCTAGACTCAGGCTGCACCCAACAAGTGAAGCCAACCAGGAGGAAGGGGAGTAAGAGAAAAGGTCCTAGAAGTGATCTCCCCCCATGGGTTATGGAGAAATGTAGAGGGGAGGAGGCTACAATCCAACCTAGGAATTCCCCCTAGTGCTCCCTTTCAGTGCAAGGATGTGCCAGGTTAATAGGCCAGAAGGGCAAGGTATCCCTGCCCCAAAGGGAGACACTCAGGGGCTGTCAAGTTCAAGCCAGAAAAGAGGTACCTTTTGAGGTTCCTGGCGGTGACAATCTGAACCAGAGGAATGGGAAAGGAAGAAAAGATTAACACAATTTGGAGTGTTGTACTTCAGCAGCTGGAGAGCCAATGGAGGAGACTGGAGATATGTAAGTTGTCCCCAGTAKGCCCCAGTTATGTGCCTCTCAATCTAATACCTCTCACCTTGGCCATAAAAGCAGGCTTTCTACTGAGATACTGCCCCACTCAGTCTATCTTCTCAGGCTTTTTCCAGGATTTGTGGGCTTCCAGGAAAATCTTAACCAGTGACAGGAGGATGGGCACGGCCATAGGGAGGAAGAGTGGGATGTAGATGGCAAATTTCTGATCATCAGGGAAATAAAGGAGGTGGAGAAGTGAAGGATCAAAAAAGGCACGCTCAGAAGATGTCACAGCTTCTTGACTGGCAACGAAGGCAGATGACAGGTGCCCAGAGGCCAACTCCTCTGCTGCCTTCTGGACTGCAGCTACAGCTTTGTATACCTAGGAAGGGGAGAAGATGGGGGTTACCCATAAGTTCTGGCTTGGCGTACAGGGTGCTGGCTGGGCCTTGCTGTACCTTTCATCTACCAAGGAGGTTGCCTATAGCTCACCCAGGATAYACGGAGGCCAGCCTAAAAAAGCTATGATTTATTTTCTGAGAATCAACTTGAAATCTTCCTTCATTCTTATCTAGACTCCTGGCATGTCCATCTAGAGGAAAACCTGGGGCATTTAAAGATGCATGACCCACACACCTTGCCCAACTCTAGGCCACAGAATCCATCCCTTCCCCACTTACCTCAGATGCCACATCATCCTTAATGACAATGTTGCCAATCTTGCCAAGAAGCTGGGCCAGAGAGGTGAGAGTGGTGGTGGCTGTGGCCAAATTCTCCACTGACCGAGCCCAAAGCAGCCGATCGAGTTCCCAGGTCATTAGTCCTTCACTCTTAGGTCCTGAAAGCAGGCATTTTGGAGGTACCTGGGGCTGAGCAATCCCAAAAAGCAGACTGTAGGAACAACAAAGCAAGAGGTCAGAAGGTGGGAGACAATGACTAAAAAATCCTAGAAGATCTATCCTAGGCTAGTGATTTTCAATTATCCTAGGAAGTTTAAGGGATGTGGAGGGTGAGCAGCATAGGGGTGTTCTATGGTTCTTGGTAAGAATGAAGCAATCCAGAGCCCCAAACCTGGCTTCAACCAGAGTGTTTCCATATTTTACTGGTTTCTATAATGGACTTCCAAGATCTTGTTTGAAAAATATTCCACAGCTAAAATATTTCTGATAATATCAACTTGGTTTAATATTCCCTCTCTATTCTCTCTATGCACAAATGGGGACAGTGGGACTTAGTTAAGATATGATCCAGAATCACCTTTTCTTTTTTGGTACTAGGGATTGAACCCAGAGGTGCTTTACCCCTGAGCTATACTCCTAGTTCTTCTTATTTTATTTTTGAGACAGGGTCTTGATAAGTCTCTCAGATGCCTATAATCCCAGAGAGTTGGGAGGCTGAGACAGGAGGATCACAAGTTCAAAGCCAGCCTCAGAAACTTAGTAAGGGACTTAGCACCTCATTGAGACCCTGTCCCTAAATAAAGTTTTTTAAAAAGGGGGTGGGGTGGGGCTAGGGATGTGGCTCAATGGTTAAGCATCCCTGAGTTCAATCCCTAGTACCAAAAAAATAAATTAATTTAAAAAACTTCTGATCCTCCTGCCTCAGCCTCCCAAATAGCTTAGATTTCAAGCATCAACATTATGCCCAGTCACAGTTATTTTCTTAAACATTCCTAGTCACACCCCTAGTCACACATGACTTCCATGAGTCTGTTTTTCTGAAAACAGGTTTTATCAGCCACTAGTCCTCCTTAGAAGGATGACACAGTCCTTGGAAACCTTTCTTGGTTTCCCTGGAGCTGTAGGCACAGCCAAAGTATCCCCAGCAAGTGAGATTTCATTTTACTCTGCAACACCTTTCTACAGCCAAAAAAACTATGGCCCCTCTTGGTAGACAGACCCCGAAGTGGATCAACTGGGACCTCACCGCAACTGAGACAGGAACACCTCCATCACTCGTACCATGTCCACCTTAACTCTTACTGGCAGCTCCGAGGAATTATAGGCTTTGGGGTCAACATTATACACCTGAAAGAGGGAGAATAAGGTTGCCACGACACACCAAACTGTGTACGGCTCTGCCTTTGGCACACTGGAGGCTATAAGAGAAAAGGAAGGCATATGCTCTGCTCTATGGAAGCTACAAACCCAGGGGAAAGCTAATATTTGAGTACCTACTATAGGAATTTTAAGTAACTTACCTCAACTACCCTCCCAAAAGTCCCATAAGATAAAAAATTTTATACCAATTTACAGTTCCAATTCGTGAGAAGCTCCCAGTCTAACAGGGGAGACAAGATTCCTAACTTTGCAAGACTCCTCCAGAGAGAGCCAAGACCTAAGATGAGCCCAGAGTATAGTCCTAAGTGCAATCTGGTAAATACAAAAGGGTCACAGTACAGAAAATACCAACAGAAAAAAGAAACAGAAGGGCTGGCAGAGGAGGGGCATGAGCACACAGCACTCTCATGTCCTTGGTACCTGCCCCTTCCCAATAGGGTGGGCCATAAAGGACCACAGAAGAAAACCAAAGGAACAGTTTCAGGGAACATCTGTCCATTCCTGAAACTTGGGCTCTGGGGCCTGCATAGTGCAACTATTACCATAATGCCACCCCAGCGGGGACTATGGAAGGCGTTGGTGGCCACTGGAGCCCCATCCTTGTCCTGAATATATAGGGGGGAGTGAGCAAGCTCAGGCACATAGAGTAGAAAGTTGAGCACAGGGTACAGGGAGGTAGCACTCGATCCTGTGGAAAAAGAAAAGAAGAGTTAAGATACCAAAACACATTGAACCTAGAGCTTAGTTCTAGGTCAGCCTGTACCTTGATGGTCACTCACTATGGGACTCAGTTTCTCTGACTGGTAATCACTAAGACATTCTCCAGTCCTGGGTTTCTACGTAAAGGACCTCTGAACTCCTGAGACACAACACAATCCTTAGCCCCAAAATGCCCCTGGAATCTCCTCTCCTTGAGGAAGCCACCCTTGATTGTCTAGACAGCTTTCTTGGTCACTGTCACAATGCACTTTGTTACTATAGCTAGTTTTACTCACAGTTATAAATGTGACCTGTGTCAGCTCCCTAATATCCTTCATTCACTAGCTATCCATACCAGATTGAAGTTTAAATTCCTTAATATGGTCATTTACAATCTGACACCTGTCACCTTCATCTTTGGTCACTCATTCACATTCACCCACAATTAACTACTCCTTGAATATCTATCTATGCTCTCTTACTTTTCTATATCTAAGCTCAGAGTTCTCTTTTGCCTGAACTGCCCTTCCATTTCTGTACTCAGCAATATCACAAAGCAATCCCTCAGCCAGAGTTTGCTCAATGATAAAAGAACAAATGGACCACATGCCTGTAATCCCAGTGGCTTGGGAGGCTGAGGCAGAAGGATCACAAGTTCAAAGTCAGCCTTAGCAACAGCAAGGCGCTAAGCAACTCAGTGAGACCTTGCCTCTAAATAAAATACAAATTAGGGATGGGGATGTGACTCAGTGGTTGAGTACTCATGAGTTCAATCCCAGTATTCAAAAAAAAAAAAAAAGAATGAATAGAAGAGCAATTTGCTCAGGTCTCACATGCCGTGATCTACGCATGCTGGCGTACCAATGGTGCTTGAACTTCATAATTAATGATATAATTACTTTGCTTGTATTACAGATCTTAGCCACACTTGCTCTTCCTAGGATCCACCCACAAAATGAAAAACCATAATGCTAACTTCAAGGATCTTCCACCTCAATCAGAACTGTCTATTCAAATTCTGCCTTCATGGACTTCTGCCTTTCCTAGATGTGTGACTATATCTTACTCTAGATAGCTTTAAGGAGGGAGATCCAACATATCCTTTTGTTAAAAGTGCTGGGAGTCATGATTAATAAGTGATTTTGGGTTAAAGAAAGAGATGTCAGCCAGGCACACTGGCACACACCTGAAATCCCAGCAGCTCAGGAAGATGAGGCAGGATAATCACAAGTTCAAAGACAGCCTCAGCAACTTAGCGAGGCCCTATGCAACTTAGTGAAACCCTGTCTCAAAATTTTAAAAAAATTAAAAGGGCTGGGGATGTGGCTCAACGGTTGAGAACTCCTGAGTTAAATCTCCAGTATTCAAAAAAAAAAAAAAAATAGATGGAGATGTCAAAGAGCATCATGGAAAAAGGAGACTAAATCTCCCTAGTTCTCCTCAGACCAACCCAACCTGGCAACCATCACTATATACAACCTGCCTCCAACCACAGGCTATGCCTTCAGGGTCTCTCCCTGGCCTAGCAGAAAGACCCTTGTCCTCAGGAGCTCACCTAGACGGGACTCCACTGGGTTTATGACATGGGGGAGGCTATTCATAGCCAAGTAGTAGCTGGATGAGGCTGGGTCAAAACGGGGATTTACCCCCAACATYGCATAGTAAAGGATCTGTAGAACAAAGAAGGAAGAGATTATTTTTAAAAATTGATTTATGGGGCTGGGGATGTGGCTCAAGTGGTAGCGCGCTCGCCTGGCATGCGTGCGTCCCGGGTTCGATCCTTAGCACCACATACAAACAAAGATGTTGTGTCTGTCGAAAACTAAAAAAATAAAAAAATAAATTTAAAAAAAGTTCCTTCCTTCATAAAAACTGATTTATGGCCTGGATTGGGGATATAGCTGAGTTGGTAGAGTGCTTGCCTCATATGCACAAAGCCCTGGGTTCAATCCTTAGTACCAAAAAAAAAAAAAAAATTGATTTGTGACCTCCTTTGTCCCAAAAAAGATTTGAGGTGTTCTAAAGAGATACAGTTAGAACAAGGCAAAACCTAAGAGACAATCAGGCATGACTGTGCATGCCTGTAGTCCCAGAGACTTGGGAGTCTGCAGCAGGAAGATTGCCAAGTTCAAAGCCAGCCCCAGCAACTTAGCAGGGCCCTGTCTCAAAATAAAAAATAAAAAGGGATGGGGACATAGCTCAGTGGTAAAGTGCCCCTGGGTTCAATCTCCAGTACCAAAAAAAGAAAAACAAGAAAGAGAGAGAGAGAGAGAGAGAGAGAGAGAGAGAGAGAGAKATCAGGGTTTAGAGAAAATAAGGCACAGGAAACAAATAACAAAGCCAAGAATAAAGCGGGGGAGGGATTGAACTCAGGGGCACTCAACCACTGAGCCACATCCCYGGTCCTATTTTGCCTGGCCAAGATGGGAGAATTGTTTATCCAGTCTCGGTAGTAGGAATGATTGTTTCTGAATAACTGCTTGATTTGACCTTGTAGACACTGAATTATTATTGTTCTTTATTTATTTGTTCAGGCTGCTAGGAAATCTTATAAAATGTATGGTTTTCAAAGCCCATATTCAGTATATTAAATTTTATCTTAGGTGCTGGGCATAGTGGTGTACCCCTGTGATCTCAGTGACTTGGGAGGCTGAGGCAGAAGGATCAACAAGTTGAAGGCCAGAAAGCAAGGCCCAAAGCCACCTAGTGAGACCCTGTCTCAAAATAAAAGATAAAAAAGGGCTGGGAGGCCGGGCACAGTGGCACATGCCTGTAATCCAGTGGCTCAGGAGGCTGAGACAGGAGAATCACAAGTTCAAAGCCAGCCTCAGCAATGGCGAGGCGCTAAGCAACTCAGTGAGACCCTGTCTCTAAATAAAACACAAAATAGGGCTGGGGATGTGGCTCAGCAGTTGAGTGCCCCTGAGTTCAATCCCCAGTAGGAAAAAAAAAAAATTCTCCCATCTTTTCCCAACAAGAACATAGTATGATATAGAAAGCTACATTTTTTCCATCTTTATTGTTACTAGGTTTCCATAGTTCAGGAAGCTTTTTATATTTTTAAATAAATTCCTTAAGAATGACTGACAGCATTAACATCTAGACACTCCCCTGAATAGAGTTCTAGAGGGAATCATAAAGAAATTGGTTGGTTAACATCAATGGAACCCTAAGCTGGACACCAAGGAGGCAAAATAAAGACACCAGAGGGGCTGGGGTTATAGCTCAGTGGTAGAGCATTTGTATAGCAAAGGTGAGGCACTGCGTTTGATTCTCAGCATCATTTATAAATAAATAAAATAAAGGTCCATCAACAATTAAAAATATTAAAAAAAAAAAAAAAGACACAAGAACCTTCCTTAAAGGGACAGGCAGATACACACACACTAACGCCTCAGTTCCTGTCCTTAGGGCACTGGCATGCATACATATACATGGAAATTGCCAGAGAATCAGCAAGCTTGAAGAGATGAAAGTACAGATGTATTTTGTAAACACTAAATATGTATGGACTTCGAAAGAAACTCAATTCACTCCCAGTCTCACCTGAGAATCCACAGAGAAGTTGCCAACAGCACTAAGGACATTCAGGAAGGGCTGCACATAGCGTCGGACAGCCCCTTCAATGTCCCAGTAGACGTCATGGGACTTGGGGTCTGGATTGAGTAAACTGAAGGTGATCTCATAGCCTACAGAAACAGGAGTCAAAAAATCAGAATTTCCTGTGGATAAAGGAGAAGGGACAGCCTATACCCCCTGACTAAGCTGAACTTGTTTCTCCTTGAATGGGGCTAATTTCCATCATGGAACCAAAGGGAGAGTAAGACCAAATAAGGAACACTGAGTGCTCTAAGAACAAATTGAGACGAGAGAAAGAAAAGAATAATGAGTTTACATGCAGATTTCCCTCCTCCACCACATAATTCATTTCCTCTCCCTTCCTATGGTAAAGCCTGGTGTCCTACCCAAACTGGACTTGAGAGGACGTCTCTTATCAGAGCTCCACTTGTCCTCCGGGAGGTGGTCAGCCAGAGCAGCAGCAAGCACATCCTCAGTCAAGGACATGGCCTGGGCTACCTGGATTATGCGSCGGCCAATGATGTTAAAGGCTTCCCGGTGCATTATCCCCCGCACAACTGCTGTCCTCTCAGGTCCGATGTAGCTCATCATGTCCTGTGAGGAGTAAGAAAGGGACAGAATGCTCACAGATCAGTGAAGAAAACAGAAAGGTAGTCTGGCTCCTGACTTAGAGAACCTGGCCTTTTGCTACTCTTCTCTCTGTAGTCATGGTGAGTTATCAACTAAGTTTTTCTGATCTGAGCCATATATATGTGTTCTCCTATATTTTTATTCCCTTGTCTTTCCCAATAGGCAGAAGTCCAGGCAGCATCCAAATCCTAAGTGGCAAAAAAAATAAAGAGAAAAAAAAATTTTTTAAAAATCTTTAGCAGCTGGGGCAGGGGTTGTGGCTCAGCAGTAGATGGCTTGCCTAGCATGTGCAAGGCACTGGGTTTGATCCTCAGCACCACATATAAATAAATAAATAAAATAAAGTTATAGATAAAATGGTGAACTGGAAACTAAGAGATGACATGCTGAACAGGAAAATAATAATTAAAAAACAACTGGAAAATGTAATTTATGCGAAGAGCACATGTCAAAGAAGCAAATGCAAGAATGTTCACGACAGCATTTTATCTATAGTGAAAAACTGGAAATAATGCAATAGTAGCAATAGAATAAATTATGTTTATGTTTATATAATGAAATACAGATACAAATGTATGAATTATCACAGATGAGTCTCCCAAACATCAATGTTGAACAAAATTAAAGTTGAAGCCAGGCGTGGTGGCACACATCTATAATCCCAGTGGTTCAGGAGGCTGAGGCAGGAGGATCACAAGTTCAAGGCCAGCCTCAGCAATTTAGTGAAGCTCAAAGCAACTTGGTGAGACCCTGTCTCAAAAAATAAGGGGTTGGGGTTGTGTCTCAGAGGTACAGCCCTCACCTAGCATGCATGAGGTTCAATCCTCAGCACCACATAAAAATAAAATATTGGGTCTACCTATAACTAAAAAATAAGTTATTTTTAAAAAATAATAATAATAATAAATAGGGGCTGGGGTTGTGGCTCAGAGGTACAGCCCTCACCTAGCATGCATGAGGTTCAATCCTCAGCACCACATAAAAATAAAATATTGGGTCTACCTATAACTAAAAAATAAGTTATTTTTAAAAAATAATAATAATAATAAATAGGGGCTGGGGTTGTGGCTCAGTGGTAGAGTGTGTACCTAGCACATGCAAGGCCTTGGGTTTGATCCTCAGCACCATATGATAATAAATAATAAATAAAATAAAGGTATTGTGTCCAACTACTATTAAAAATAATAAATAAGTAAATAAATAGGGCTAGGGATGTGGTTTAGCAGTTAAGTATCCCTGGGTTCAATCCCCAGTACCAAAAACAAAAAAATTAAAGTTGCAAAAGAATTGTATTATACCATTTATATAAATTCAAAAATAGGTAAAATTAAATATATTGTTTATAGACATGTGATTGAACTCTAAAGAAAAGGAATAAGAGATACATAAATATGAGCACCTGGGGCTGAAAGGAAACGGAGATCACAGGCTCCAACTATCCTGAAGTTCACAAACTTGGGAATGGGTTTATATAGTCTCATAAAAATTTTCTTTCATCTTTTTATAAGACTTAAATATTTCATTATAAATTCAAAAAGAAAATAGTTCCCTGCATTTTTCTGCTTCTAATGTGAAAAGGTCAATCAATCACTTATATTACCATCACAATCTATTCAAACCAGATAATTCTTTTTGGTTGGTTTTGGGGTTTTGTTGTTTTGTTAGGTGCTAGGGATGCAATCTAGGGGCTTGCACATGCTATGAAAACTCTACCATTAAGCTACACCATCAACTCTCCAGTAAATTTTTTTAAAAATTCTTCTTAGGCGCACACCTGTAATCCCAGTGATTCAGGAGGCTGAGACAGGAGGATCATGAATTCAAAGCCAGCCTCAACAAAAAGTGAGGCCCTAAGCAACCCAGTGAGACTCTGTCTCTAAATAAAATACAAAATAGGGCTGGGGATGTGGCTTAGTGGTTGAGTGCCCCTAAGTTCAATCCCCAGTACAACCCCCCASCCCCCGCCAAAAAAATTTCTTTCTTTTTTTTTTTTTAGTTGTAGTTGGACACAATACCTTTACTTTATTTATTTTATTTTTATGTGATACTGAGGTTGAACCCAAGGCCTCGCATGTGCTAGGCACATGTACCCCTGAGCCACAACCCCAGCCCCCCTACAAAAAAAATTCATTTTAATCCCACTGATTTCTGTTCATTTTACGTTTTTATTTATTTATTTTTTTTATGTTTTTGGTACTGGGTATTGAACCCAGGGGCCCTTTACCACTGAACCACATCATCCCCATTCCTGTTTATTTTTTGACATAAGATCTTGATAGTTTGCTGAGAGTCTCCCTAAATTGCTGAAGACGGCCTTGCTCCTGACTTAGCCTCCCAAGCCCCTGGGACTACAGGTGCATGCCACCATACCAGCTCAATTTCTGTCCATTTTACATGGCCAATAGCACTTAAACCACATATAATTCTTGGATTTAGAAAGACCTAAAGTTAATGAATAAATATTCATTGATTTTTTTTTTTCTTTTTTCTTTTGGCAGTGCTAGGAATTAAGCCCAGGGCCTCATGCATGCTAGACAAGCACTCCACCACTAAGCTACATTTCCAGCACCCTTAGCCAAGCCATTTTCATTTTTTGAGACAAGGTCCCTAAATTGCCCAGGCTGACATTGAATTTGCAACCCTCCTGTCTCAGCCTCTAGAGTAGCCAGGATTATATGTAGGCATGAACCTCCACACCCAACTTTTTTTTTTTTTTTTTTTTTTTGGTATCAGGGATTGAACCCAGGATTGCTTAACCACTGACCCACATCCCCAACCAACTTTTAATTTTTGAGACAGGGCCTTGCTAAAGTTGCTGATACTGGCTTTCAATTTACGATCCTCCTGTCTCCCAAGCTGCTGGGATTACAAGCATGGATTACCAAATCTGGCTCTATTGGCATTCTTTTTTAAAAGATGAGGAAAGTTCTCTGTAGCAAACGGGAGATTAGACAACATTACTAGAAGAACATAACTAAGCTTGGCATAGTAGCACATGTCTGTAATCCTAGCAATTCAAGAAGCTGAGGCAGGGGCTGGGGATGTGGCTCAAGCGGTAGCACGCTCGCCTGGCATGTGTGCGACCCGGGTTCGATCCTCAGCACTACATACAAGCAAAGATGTTGTGTCCGCCGAAAACTAAAAAATAAATATTAAAAATGTCTCTCTCTCTCTCACTCTCTCTTTCTCTCTCTCACTCTTTCTTTAAAAAAAAAAAAAAAAAAAAAAAAGAAGCTGAGGCAGGAGGATCCAAGTTTGGGCCAGCAACTTAGAGACCCTATCTCAATCAATCAATCAATTAATTGGTCTGGGAGTGTAGCTCAAATGATAAAGCCCCTAGATTCAATGACCACCTAGAGAAACAAACAAACAAACAGAAAGGGATGACCTAAGAGAATGAGCTAAAGGGAAAAGGCCAGGCCTCAGCTGCTCTGCTTACCTACCTGGGGAAGAAGTAAGGAGTGTTCAGAGATCACAAACACAGTCAGGGAACCTTCTGATTGCTCCTTCTGCTCAGCTAACATGGCTTCTGCCTCTGAGGATGGAAGCAAGTGTTACACAACAAGCAATGCCATTCCAGCTTCCCCCAGCCCCAACAGAGTGCCTAGGCCACCCTCTATTCTCAGTCAGCTGATACAGTACCAGGACACAATAGGTAAGCCAAGCCCAGGACTCTGGTCCTCATTAGGCCAGGATAAAACTCAAGGTACTTCATTCCCTGCTTTCCCAAAGTGGCTTTGAAGGTAAGACAAATCATAGAAATCATACACTTAAAAAGACCAGAAGGAAACAAGAGGGCTTTTTGTCAAAACACTGATTACCCCTTCCCCTACCTTTCACATTGTCCAATGACAGGGCCTCTTCCTCATGGTCCAAAGCCCTTCGATAGGCCTTCTGGAAACGACATTTGATTTTCATTTTGTCTAGAGGGAAAGGAAGTAGCATGATGAGGACAGGCCCACTTTCCCAGACCTAATACTATCCAGCATCTGAGGATAGCAAGATGATTGTTTGCAGAGAAACACCAAACACTAGGCAGCTATAGCCAACTCTAATTTTTTCTGCACGGGTGAAAGTGAACACATGACGTCCTGCTTCTCCCTTCTGCCCCAGCTCTTGCTGCTGCCTGTGCACACACTGCTCTTTCAGTCTGAAATATCTTCCCACTTGGGCTGGAGATGTGGCTCAAGCGGTAGCGCACTCGCCTGGCATGTGTGCGGCCCGGGTTCAATCCTCAGCACCACATACAAACAAAGCTGTTGTGTCCGCCGATAACTAAAAAAATAAATATTAAAATTCTCTCTATCTCCCTCTCTCACTCTCTCTTTAAAAAAAAAAATATCTTCCCACTGGGGTGCCATTTCGATATTCATTAACATCTATAGGTGAAAGAAGAAAACCCACATGGTCATTCCAACCCTGGTCCCCAAATAATTAAATTCAATAAATGGCCCTGATAAAAATCAAAATATGTGCTTAATGACAAAACACTAAATGCAATTCCATTAAAGTTAATAATAAAACAAGGATGCCTGCTATATTCATTATTCTTATTTTATACAGCACTGTTCTTTCAGAAGGTGCTGACCAATGTATTCAGTGAAAAAAGAGAAAAACTTCTAAATATTTAAAAGGAAGAGCCAGGCATGGTGGTGGCATGACTGTAATCTTAGCAACTAGGGAGGCTGAGGCAGGAAGACTTTAAGTTTGAAACCAGCCTGGGCAAACTTAGCTGCACCCTGTAGCAAAATT